TTGGTATATACATTCTCAAATATAAACACTGTACCTCTTTCTGGTGAGAATGAATTTGACTTTGAAATTTTATTTGACTTTATAGTCCGAAATGTAATATCTTTATAATATGGTTCAGGATTATTTGCAATTATCTAAAATGTCAATTTAAGAAGCATATATTTTGACTTTTTGAGATAATGACCAATAAACATATCAGAAATTTTTATATAACATTTTACAACATCATACGAATAGAATGTTCGAATAGTGTTCTAGAATAACATCAACATATTAGAATGTAATGTTCTAGAACACTATACGATGATACTACCTGTTGAAAGAGCAAGGGGTAAGTACAACAAGTGCTTGAATTTAGTTCAGTAGTTATCAGTAAGTTTTGAAAGTATTTTTTTTTTTTTTTAAAAGTTTCAGCAAGACTTTGCCTCAAATTTATTAACTAAAAAAAGAGAAAGTCTCCTATATTAATATTACATAATATAAGATACACAACTTATTCTAGTAACTAACAAAAAGATGAGACTCAGACTAATTCGAATTGTCAATTCCAAGATTAACACGAAATACGCTTGCAACCTACCACCAAATAACAACAGTTATAAACGGCTTGTTAAAGCCCTGCTGAACAGCCTATATTATATATATTTGACCAATGTTTATTATATTTCACTAATGATAATATATATTTACTAACTGTGTCATAGTAATTATTTTTCAGTTGTCTATGTTTATCTCTATTATTATTATTGTTTTTATTGTCAATATTGTAATTATTATTACTGATATCATTACTACTATCTCTACTACTATTATAGTTATTGTTATTAGTAATGATCTCTTCATAATATTGATTTAATATCTTTCTTTTATTTGCATTTTTAATTCCATTTTCTAATTCCCATTGTTTTATAATTTTACAGCGATAATTCCAAATATTTGTTCTTATATATTCCTTGAAAGTTACCATTGTCTCTTCAAAAATTTTAAATACTTCTCTTTTGTTTTGTGTTTGTGAAGATATATTGTTGTATAACGAATTGAGAATGTGCCCAATGATGATGTCAAGAAATGATAATTCGTTTTTGTCATAATTCTTTTCATCTTCGGATCACTTTAGTTCACTTAATTCATAAATTTCGTCTTTGAGTTTATCTGGTTTTGTTTTTGTTTTGGCTATCTTATTAAATTGATCAATTAAAGTGTTAACAAATTTATCTTTGCACATTTGTATATCTATTAAATTTGAATTGCACGTGAAAGCATGTAGTTGATCTTCAGTAATATTATCATTACATCGTATGCATTTATTATTTTTATATATCTTTGGGTATCTTTTGTACATACATTCCATTGTAGGTAATTCATTGTTAAGCAATTTCATATTAAAAGCTCTTTCTCTATTTTCTTTGTTATTTGTTGTGAATTTTGCTTTATATGATAATGCTACGGTATTTCACGTAATCTCCCAATTAATATTTGTTACTATTCCTATTTAACAATCTCCAGTTAACTGTAGATTTTGTTATACCCAGCTTTTTCACAAATCCACGGAAGGGGACCTCTATGTCGATATTTTTCCAACATCCAATTGCATTAACTGACTTTAGTTTTTCAATTTTAGGTGTACATGTTGACTTATAAATTTTCTCTTTAGCTATTTCATCCGCTCGTTCATTAAAAGTCACTCCAGAGTATGCTTGTACTTTATATAAGTATAAATTAATGTTATGGACTTGTGTTAGTTCAATAATTGACTGAATTAACTGTCAATTTTTCATTTTACGAAATAATTTCTTCTTGTTTATAAGGCCATTATTAATAGCTACTATTGAGACCTAACTGTCTGTATAGATGTTTAGTTTTGTGTTTCTTGGCGTAGCATATACCGCTAAAAGAATTCCCATTAATTCAGCTCGAGTAGATGACGTGAAATTTTCAACTTGGCCACAAAACTGGTATTTAATTTGTTCTTCAATTATAATAACCCATCCGCAACTCATCAAAGGGTCTTCATTATTACCAGTTGATAAACTTAAAGAACCATCTGTATATATATCGATTTCTCTGTAATTATTCATATTTATCCTGATCTCATCTAGTTTCCTCTGTATTGTCTCATCCATCCAAAAATTATCATATTTTGGGTGTAGACGTGAGGATTTAGTTATTGTATTTCTAATGTGTATTTCCAGTATACGTAAGACTTGTGTACTACTATTATTTTGTATCACATTTAATTTATTGTTTTTGATATTATTAAGTTTATCTAAGATGACTTCATTTTCTGATCTTAGATGAATTTTATTATCTCTTGTTGATGTGTCTCTAGTTGAGACTTGACTTTTAATTATGTTGATATTAACAGATTATGCCACATCCGTTTTAATTAGACATATCTCATTATTTTTAAAATTACTTGATAATGATTCATTTTTATAAGTGCACCTTTTGCATTTATTGAGTGGGGATTTCTCTGTCCCATTGGTAATGACTCGTTTATATAGTAAATCATAGTAAATTCACTCTCATTTATGACCTTTTTTTTCTTACCCAGAATCAGTTATAAAGTATTATCATCTTGTATTGCTAACTAACTGATCTCTTTACTTTTTTTATCAATATTCCAGTTGCATGCGTTATATTTATATTTCATGTTGTTGAAGTTATTACTGGTAATGATACTTCTATTGTTACTATTTAGTAGGAGTATCCTTTCAACAATCTTAAATCATCTTGGCTTTGGTTCCTTTTTTACATTATCTTTGATAGCTTGCCAGTGTAATAGTTTATGGCCATTAAATGATAAGATCTGTTCCACAAATAAGAGTTTTCACTTACATAAGCTCCGTCTGTATTGACAATAACAATCAAACTCTTTTATCAATTCTTCAATGGTGGTCTTGCCTCCTTTAATTAACAAACTCTCTTTCATGTCATTTGATAGTTTGAAGGTAACTTCATTTTGTTTACATATTATTAAAACCTCGTTGAGGAATTAATAACCTCTTTTTAGTTTAATTGAATCTAATGTTTCAGTTATCACATTATCCGACCAGAACATATTTTGTAGTTGTTATAACCTAATACGTATAGTTAAGCCTAATATCTCCTTATCATTAATGCGATTTAGTAGATTATTACTCTGCATTTGTAATTGTCTATTCCAAAGGTAACATAATCCATATGCTTCTTTTGCATAAATTAAAGCGTTAGGTGATGTGCGTACTAAACACGCTTTATTTTTGATTACCACTATAAATCTGGATGTTATTTTATTACACTCCTTTTCTGTGAGCGTCATATCATTTAATTTATATTCTAGTATTGGAACAACTACCGCGTTAAAGATATATATCGCTTGTTTATCTATAATTTGTTTTCCTCTTAGAATGGTTGCTATGTAGTCTACTGTTTTTTTCATGTGCTCCTTTTGAAATTTTTTTGATCCACTCTCAATTATGAATACTTCCAAAAAGCGAACAGGGAAATTACTGTTAATTGGTTTTAAGTTATTATGGCCCATATTGACACCTGTGTCCCAATCTACTTTTTCGGTATTGATTACCATTAGGTATGATTTTGACTTATTGATTTCAATATCATTTATTGTATAGAACTTATTAGCGATGTCAAGTATTTTTTCCATTTTTTCCTTGCTGGGGGCGAACCAATTTGTATCATCTACGTATGCTGCAACTGCTAACTTACAACTAATATTCGCTTGTGTTTTGTAATACAAATTGTTTGTCCAGCTCTCTTTTATTGTATAATCCAATTTTGACTTTGCCATACGATTTATAAGTGGGTCGTAAAAGATTCTCCACATTAATGGTGAAATGATGTCCCCTTGATCGATACCATCCTCAACTTTATATGACTCAGTATTTCCATGTGCTGTGATCACTTTATTTTCCCTATTTTTTAGTAGTCTCGACATAAGATTTATAAACCTTTCAGGTATTTTGATACGACGTAGCGTCAAAATTAAGCAGTCTGAGTTTATTGAGTCGAATGCCTTGCTCATGTCCTGAAACATAAGTCATAGTTCTTTATTATTAGTGCGAGCATCTTCCATGATATTGTTTATGATGTATATAGGCCCTTGTGTATCATTTCCTGACAAGCCAGCATAATTATATTCTGATAAAATTTCTCGTTTCTCAAAAATAGCTGATAATCTGTTATTTATGATTTTCATAAAGATTTTTCTACCTGTCTCTAATAATATAATTGGTCTTGTGATATTTAAATTGTTACCCCACTCAGTAGTTTTGGGTATTGGATAAATATAGCCATTTTTCCACTCTTTAGGGATATCGTTTAATAGTAGTGTGTCATGTACTATATTTCGAAAAATATCTAAACCTTTTTGTGTGAAGTTTTTAAACCACTCATACTGAAGATTAGATTGCCCCAGTACTTTGTTATTTGATAGAGATTGAATTACTGTCTCTAATTCATCTAATTTGACCTCATTATATAAGGTGTCATATCACGAATTGTTGATCTCTTTAAGTGGTGTATATTCAAACTCCCATTTTTTAAGTAACCCGATATCCGTGATTCTTTTCCTCGTTCAATTGTGAAAATGTTCTTTTACCAGTTCTTTAATTTCATTACCTTCTGTAATTATAATTGAATTATTATCTGATATCTCTTTTACAATTCAATCCATTACTATTGATTTGTGTGGTTTATCTAATATGCTACTTATCATACGCTTCAGATTATCTTTTAGATCTTCTCACCTTTTTTCAATTACTTTTTGTATTTGTTTTATTGTTTCACTTTTTTCTTTTGCTTTGGTAATCTTTTGATGAACTATACTTTCCACTTTTAACTCTTCTCGTATTTTGAAGTTATTTGTATTGTCTTTTCTAAAAATTTTTTCTATACTATAGTTTAGCATATTCAATTTCCTTTCTTCTTTTTTAAAAGTTTCACTATTTTTAATTGTTTTAATTAATTTTGCTCGTTCCATTTTAAATAGCCTATATACTTTATTTAATGATTTTGCAATGTGAAATTCTCTGATTATATTTGGAGTCAGTGATCTCTTTTTTTTTCCATTTATGTTTTGGTATAATTTGATCTGTTACTTTTATCATTATATTTTTGAGTGTTAACCAACTTTTGTTTAGGGTGTTATAACTCTTTTTATGGTGATTAATGCCATTGAAAAATTTTGACGACTCAACTTCTACAGTAACTAACTCTGAAAATTTTAGCCATCGCCTCTTATCCATCAGCTTTATATTATATTTAGGTCCATTGGAATAATTTTTCTTATCTTTTTCTCTTATTTGCCACTTTTTTAATATTTTAATGCCTAAAAGTTTATGGTCACTACTTGTTATCAACTTAATGTTGTCTAAGAAACATGACGTAATTTTATCACTCCATCTGTGTGACATCCAAATTACGTCAATCTTACTTTCCTCATTTGAATTATCTCTTTTCCATGTATACCCTGTGTTTTCGGGAAACATTATTCTATAGCAATTAATTAAATCATAACTACTTAGTAGTGGAAATATTTCACTTTCTGGAAAATGTAAGTGACTATTGTTATTTCGATCTATTGCAGATGACAGTACTACATTAAAATCTCCATCATGATAACTTTTTTCTTTTTCCTTTGAGCTTCATTTAATTGAATTTTAATTCAGTTAATTACATTAACTTTGTCACTTTTTTTACTTGATAAATAAATTTGCATTACGCAAATTGTCATTTTTCTTAGAAGAACTAGATCTATGCAAATTGCCCTACTCTCATATTCTCTTTTTTTACAAACATACTTATTTAGTGTTTTTGAAATTATTAAGGCTAACCCAGTTCTTTTTCCGTTGTTCGAACAATGGATACGAAATTTATCCTTATTGTCTTTATAGCACTACCTCTTGTTATCACCACAATTTGTTTCTGCTATGTCCACTATGTCGAACTGTTTATTTTTAATATAGTTAAAAAACAAGCTTCGTTTAACTGTATCGTTAAATCCTCGTATGTTATATGTGGCTATCTTAAAGTCTGAGTTACTTATTGTTTCACTATTATTATGAGTTAAATTTAAATCTAAATCTAACTTATTATTAT